CGTTCTTATCTTATCTAGGTTTTCTTGTGCTCCTCGATAAATTTGACGGCTCTTTGCATTACTTGCAGTAATTGTACTTTGCACCGAAAACGAAACACGAATCACGAAATATGAATCACAGATGAGCAATCGCGGATGCAACGTGAGCACTGTATCGCACTGGCACTTGCACCACGCTATTCCACGTAACAGAGACGCGAGAAAAAGGCCACAGTAATAGCAGAAATCAGGGTGCCTAAATAACATGCACAAAACAAGTTCAATGGTCAACCAAGCCTCTGCAAGTCGCATGTTAGTATTTCTGGTGTTGTTCAGTTTTTGTCTGGGCAGCATGGTTTTTTATCGGTTAGTTCAATCAACCAATGTTCTTTGGTTCAAAAGCTGTGACACGTACACGCTTTACTGACGTCACCCGGAAACCTTAATTCACCACAGTTGTCCGAAAACTGTAAGGTATAGCTCCGTGGTATGCGTCGTCTCGTAGACTAGGATCACCACATTCATCCAATGCAATTTTCTTACTATCGACATACTGAGTTGAATTTAACTCATTCAAATTCACTCATCCGATAAATCAAAATGAAGTTACTCATATTTTTATTTTTCAGGTTCACTGTTGTTTCACCTTACATCCGGTAAACTTCATTCCCGATAAATATAATTTTGTTTTCTAAATCAAATTGTACACCCTGAACTTTTGGTAAATCATACACTGTTGGTTGTAGGTGATCATCACACTGCACCGTCACAATTTGCACACAAGCCAATCTAACTGCCCCAAACTGTGCACACAAGTCCCAATGGAATACGAGATGCGATCAAGTGCCATGAATTTTGTGATTGGCTCTCAGTAGATCTTTATTTGTATTCGGAAACTATACGCATTCACGTCAGTTGGCCTCAATTCACACATATGGGAAAAAGCATTGGTTATCTGCGTCATCTTGGTTTAGAATGTTTGGGGAAGGTACTTTCCAGTCTATCGGTAAGTGGAGGACCGTAATTTCCACCATTCGATTATCAAACGGAAGAAGACTGAAATGGACCAGTACCTGTCCCTATCTCTCTGAAGTAAAGGGACAGCTTTCTGTGACAAGCAGAAAGCTACAACAAATAAATTTGTAATCTCGGAATATGCGCATTGGTTGAGAACACAGTGTAGGCGAACATATGTTTTCGGTGACTTCCTTTTCAAGCCTTTACAATCACATTTATATGAAACAAGTTCGATAAGATCAAACAAAACAAAAACAAAAAGGTGAATGACTCATGTGTTCGGCAATGAGCCCAAGAGAACTCTAAATTTGTTGTGCGCAGTTTCGACCACATAACCAAAGTGATTACGTCATGATCATAAATTTGTTGCAAGACCGAAGGCCAACCTTTATCTTTCAGGTCAAAAGCCCTCCCCCTAGCAGCATGCTAGTAACAGTAAGTCCATTTATGCAAAGCAAATCATAGGTTTCGTTACACACTGTGGCCCGATTGACCACCAAGTTTTAATACATCAGACCCTCCGGAGAGGGGCTCTTTTAAGTTCACTACTAGCAGCTACCTCTTGTGTCTGGAAGAATAACGCAAATCGGGCTTCATTTCAGATCGCTTGGCTTTTGTTGAATCACAGGTTACGGATATGCAATTAAAAATAATCTGGAATGTTCAAAAATGATTTCTCTTTGTAAGGATAAACCACAGTGAGTAGTACGGCCTACAACAAAGTAGTTGTCGTGAGGCTTGAGCACAAAGCGTCTTTCATACGGATCCGACTGTAGATTTCTTCTCATCATGGTTAATCCGAACACCGCTATATGGATTTAATTCTATTTAAACGACAAACATTCTTGCAATAACTTCCACTCCACCCCTGGATTGGATATCATGACAGTTGCTTTTTCTTTGCTTTTCTTTATCAGGTACGTTCCTGTGTAATTCAATTCACTCTTCACTGTTTTTTTCTCTTTCATACATGCTGTAGCTACAATTTCAAGTACGCACCCTTATTGATACGGAAAAAACTGTTAACAATATGACTCGGGAGAAGACAGGGGGAAGCCATTCCGAGGCTCACAGAGCATCGACCGTCGGTCATTCATCCACATGGAAAGCCGCTCCTAGTCCCGGTGTAAACAGTCATCCGAAGTACGGACGACAACCGACCCGACAGGTTTGCCTCCATGTACGATTCACTCCAATCTACTCCATGAATGACTTGCAAGTGAAAAACCCTTTTCTTCTCAAAAACATTCGATACGTGGAGAATGCAAAACTTATGTATCAAAACCACATACTCCTCCGGCCCATACGATCGGACGATGCGATGGACACAAAATCGCAATGGCAGGTTTGCACGCGACTAGTTGAACAAGCCCAGCTCGCACTGGTAGATCGCACAGACAAGGGGCAGCGACGGGCAGCGGTACGTCTCATAAATTATCTGTTCCAAATTAGCGATTTGTGTTGGAAAACGAAATTACTACAATGGGTAGAACCGAAACATCTGTACAATATTGTCCTGTACGCAACCAGTGACGAGACGGACGTGTCAAATCGAAATGTTCTGGCCTATTTATCTGACGGTGGCAGTAAAACCATTGTCTGGCAAAGGACGCCGTTGATGTTGATTGTTCAGCGGCTATTGGAATATGTGTATCACGCAATGCAACATCTTCGATTGCCCACTTTCAATGGGATTGTGACCAACATGCTCAGTCCACCGCAGGGAGAACGGGAACGGAAAGAATTAAGTAAAATCCGAAGTGTACTTGGCGGTTGGGTGAAAAGTGAGGCCGCGTTACGTCAGGTGCTGGAAATGGCAATCAAACGAATGACGAAGAATCCAAACACCATTTCACATCACTCTTTCACCACATCGTAATTTGGCGTTAATTGCATGACTAGTGTCTTATTTCAAGATCTGATGAGCGAACTGTAATAATTATGATTATCGTAACTTGGAATAAACTACTTCATTCAAAATACATTCGGTTCAATTCCATACAAAGAATATCAGGTACTTTGTATTGCGAAAACCACTTAGGAACGATGATTTCACCAATGTGGAAAAATATCAAAGTTTTCTGCTCAAACTTACGATAGGAAACAAAGTTCGTGTCAAAATCATTGCTGACTGACCGTAACAAGCAACAATCGCGACTTCCACCGCCCCCTTCAATTATCCAGTTGCCTTAGTTTTCTGCTAATTCCGATTGGACACAATGAGATACGTGTTTTGTTAGGATGATTATGGTGGGAGGTAAAAATTGGAAACTATCTGCTGAGCTTTGACTAGATGCAATCAAATAGGACTTCTTAAATGTTTTGAATGCTTTTTTTAGTTTTAAGCAACAGCTCATCAATCCCGCAGTATGATAACTATGATCGCAATAAACCAGTCAACAGTTCCACGATTCCGTGGTAATCAATTTATCCATCTTGTAGCCTGAATTATTATTCAGACTTACCGTAATCGGTTATCACTAAAAGACTCCATTGTGACTCAGTCCAAAGTAAGTCGTTTTCGTGAAAATAACGCCCATTTCAAAGCGCATCTTCCAATCGCTCAAATCATCACTAGCGTTCGGAAATCGGTTTGTCCAGATATCCATTAGAACCGTTTACATTACCGCAGGCGTACTTCCCATTTCAACCAATTATCCTAACTAACTATGACAAGTTTATAACAATCCATCTGGACACCATGTCTATGCAAACGTGGCTAGTTCTCTTTGATGTCTTTTGGACTTTACTAGCAATTCCTTTCCTGGTATTGTATTGCATTATATTTTGTTGTATTGTGTATAACTTTTGCAAGCACCGAAGCTTACATTTCAGGTAAAAAACAATACACGCCAACCATCTCAAGGAACATTCAACGGTGAGAAAATATTTACAGACATGAGGACATTTCGTAACACTAGGTTAAGATAAAATTCGTTTGTTACCCTTTCTTTGTTGTTGATTAAACGCATAAGATAACGTATAAGTGAATTTCGGTAGGTGTTTATTCGAGATGAAACTTGGCGAAGTTGTGAGTGGGGGGGGGGCATGGGAACGATAACGTGTCAGTTCTGTGTGCGATGGGTGATGAAGATTTGTCAGAACCATCTCCACAAACTTCGCACAAGAAATGGTATGATACTCTGAAAGCTTCACAACTAATTCATTCACAGGAATGAAATAAACGCGGCTACGAATAGTAAGACCGCAGCGTAAGACTATGAAATTCTGTTTGAGTAAGCCACGAAAAATAACTGAGGAACAGTAGAGTAAGATGGGAAAACTCACTGATGCGCAAAGGTAAGAATAACTGACTGAAATGCGCGATGCTGTCTGAAATGATAGACACCGCAGTTTACCAATTCGGTTGTAGATGTGAATTGACCAATGAAGATTGCTATTTACAGTTACACCTAGATATATGACAGGGTTCACCATGGATGAAGGATGGTTATTTTTGACTGTGGGATCTGTTGGAAATAAAGAGCGTGTAAAACTATTTAAACACTCAACACATTTAATGGGGTTTAAGGTTATCCCCGATAAGGAGGAGAATGATTGAATTTAACCAACATCGGAGTAAGAAAAAAATGGGTTGACAGAGCACAAAATCATCCGCATATTTCAAAACAAGTGCAGGGGGAACACAAGGAACATAAGAAATGTGCGTGGAGAATACGTTTGTGAGCAATAAGTAGTACAGATCCTTGAAGAACTCCGGAGTTCTTCAAGGATCTGTACTACTTATTGCTCACAAACGTATTCTCCACGCACATTTCTTATGTNCATAAGAAATGTGCGTGGAGAATACGTTTGTGAGCAATAAGTAGTACAGATCCTTGAAGAACTCCGGAGTTGTTGACTAATGATTTAAATGAACCTTTCCTTAACCTAGAAATTTGCACTCTATCGGTAAAATCGTTCAATAGCCAAGCTGGAGCCGAAAATTACTACCTGGATTGCTTCATGTCACAGAGCCCGAAAATGATATGTCCAACTCGTAAGAAAATTGTGCTTTGGATGAACGTTCTATATGAAAAAGTATTATCGCAAATAGAATATATACCACTGAAGTAAGAACAAACAACCTTATAAACATCCATTTGAAGCTCCTGTTGTTATTACAGACATGAAGATATTCTTTAAAGTGGGATGTATACATCCCTACATTGAGATACATAAAAAGATGTGAATTGCATTCCTTAAATTCAATCCTTCATTCAGTGATGTTGCCACCCAGGTACGTCTCTCGTACTTTGACGAAAAATACGTGTTAGACAATTCGCGCTGCGATTGCTGATGATGGTCGATTAGGGAAAATCAATGTTATGACTTGTTTTTATGAATATCATCATGAGCTGTAGAACAGTGTATTGTATACGGGTGAGTAAACATTCTATATCGATAAATTACACAGGTTAGTCGGTGATACATAATTGAAAAAACACTCCGAACAACTGAGTTCCAACAATGCTGTTGAGATTGCACTGTGGAATTCGCCATATACGCATTAAATAAATCGTTGCCTGCAACACTAAGGAGTATGGGAAAGCTATTTCCATCTGGTTGTGTTTCATACGCAGTGCGAACTCTTTGAAAAAACCGGAGATCGAACCTGAGAATCCACAGGCGGGAATAAGCATACTGCCCACTTGAATACTGGGCAGCTGGTCCAACCACCGGTGTTTTAAACAAAACCGATAAATGTGAGATTCAAATTAGCTGTGAATTTGATATTCCGGTTAAGTTAGGTTCACTCTCCGATTGTTTCACGTCTGCCAGCATTTGGAACACTGTCGCTGAACAGATGGAGAGGGAGGGATGATATATATAATAAAGGGCATGGCAAACAATCAGAAGAGAAAACGTTAATAACACAAAGGTTTTCTTGAATGCGGTTTTTCATTTTTGCTTGTAATTGCTTATTATAATGATCTATTTCAACCAAAAGTTTGTCGTTGACAAAAGCAGACTGGTGATCAGCTCTCACTCGTAACACGCAACAGACAGAAAGAACTCACACAGACATCAT